TTTTTTTTTTTTTTTTTTTTTTTACTCCACCTGCACCCTTAGTTTGGCGTTGGCTTGTGGCATCTGTAGATCGTGAAGTCTATTAAACATACTAAAACTGAACGTGTGTTTGGTTTTGTTTTCTGTTGCCTGTTTTCCCTTCTCACCTTTTCCTTTGGCTGCCATCTTAAACATCACATGCTCAAAACAAGCATGACCTTTGTATAGGGCCTTGAGGCCTCTGATAGACTTGATTAGGGACACACATGCTGACAGACTAGGGACTGTGTGGGAACAGAGGGCAGCGGTTTTATGCTGAGCTGTATTTAGTAAGTTGTGGAGAAAGTGCTATAGAGGACACGGGGCTTACTGCCCTATATCTGCAGTTCCCTTCTTCAGAAAACTGCTTTGGCTCTGGTTAGGTGTGCTGCTTCTTGCAGTCGGTGTAGGACTTCTGCTGGCAACCCTAGCTTTCAGGGCTTGCTGTCTTCTCATTTCAGCAAGGCCATGGGATGCCTTGCTCTTGGGATATTCCTTGCCCACTTCTGCAGTGAATTTGGGGTTGCCTTGCTGAGTTCCCAGGTCCCCCTGGGACTTCTGTCTAACTTGGCCTTCTCCTTACTTCCCATGCTGTATGTTCTTGCTTATTTGCCCTTTTGCTTACACTGCACTGAGAAGCTGCAGTTTCTCATGTGTAAGAAAACCACAGCCTCATGTGCCCCAGCTGTTCCCTCCCCTTGGGCAGTGACAGCAGGACCCATGCAGGACACCAGGACCCCCCATGTTTGGGGACAGGGCAAGTGGCAGACATGGCATTCTGCCTGCATCGAAACTGCAGGATCAGGACAGGTCTGCAGAGGGAGCTCCCAATTTATAGTCAGGAGGGGAAATACTTGCTGGTCTTTCTAACACGAGCGCTAAGCTATGATCCACGCAGCAGCTGCTCTTGTCGCGGACAACCCAATGTCTTGCAAGCATGGCTGTTGTTATTACAGAGTATTATTGGCATGTGAGGCAGCATGTCAAACAAATAACATTGCCCCACTTCCAGCACATTGCAAAGGCACAGGTGGTAGAAGAAGGGGACCTGACCAAGCCCAGAGCAGCATGAGAGTGCTCGAGCTGGAAGGCTTTCCAACGTAGACAGATTTTCAGCAGGTTTCTGAAGGAAACAGACCCAGTTTTGGTGAGAGAGAGACTCTTCTGAGGCTGCGGTGTGATTTGAAAGGAGGCATTATGCAATGAGTAGACAAGGGGAGTGACCAGAAATGAATGGGTACCAAGGGAGACACATCAGAGCAGATGGAGCTAGGAAAGCTTTACCCATGCCTCTGGACAAAATTCTGCTTTATGAACCAGTCTGTGCTTGTTTGCTGTGTGCTGTATTCTGTGTGTGTGCACGTGTGGAATGGTTCCAAGGAAAATATGTTTGTTTGCTCTACTGGTGAAGAAAAATACCTGTTTTCCAGAGTGCTCTCAGAACGCGTCCCCATTGGGGAACCCTAGCAGGTCCCATAGGATCCTTTGTGCTGTCACTGCTCAGGTCTGTGAGTCTCTGCTTGCTCAATGTCCCCACCCTTGCCTTTTATTGCTGATGGCATTCAGGGGTAGTGGGAGAAGGAGCCCTGATTTTTCTCACTATCTAGGTTTGTTTTAGGGTAGCTGGAGACTGCAGGTACCAAGGGAATGAAGAGATCTCACGGCCTTCACAAATACATCTGTAATTTGCTGAGCCCTTCCCAAGCAGCAGGTCAGTAACATGCTGGGCTGGAGTAACACAGAGTGGCTTAGCTAACCAGTACTTCGTGGGTATTACTCATGTGCTCTTTAGATGTACGCCAGAGTCTAAATACACCTTTGTGGCCAATAGCCTGTTACTGATGCCTAATGAGGGAATGTTATATTTAGGCTTCAGCAAAGCCTGTCCTATAGACTTAACTTCCCTCGTCAGGCATACTATGAAATACTTGCATTTCATGACATGAAAACACATATTCGAGAACTTTTCATCTTACCAAGCCCGGCAGTACACTTGCTGGTGCACTGCATAGACTGGAAATATGTGGGGGGTTTGGGTGACAAAGGTGCATCTTGAATGATGCTACAGACAGTATTTATCTACTGGTCCTGCACAGGCTGGTGAGTTCACATCCAGCTGGTACAATACTACCTGGACATCTGTAGCAAACCCAGTTTAGGTAAAGTGTTTATTGCAATGTCTGAGAGACAGCTTGGAATAATACTCTAATGTGGGGAAAAATAATGTTTGCTTTGTCCATAGACTGCCAGGGCTGCAACTTTTTATTATCCAACATCGAAATGTGTCCCAATTCTTTGTCTGTGGCCTCATTCTCTCAAGTAAGTTTAAATGAAATACTGCTGCTGCTGCAGTTATCTAAAAGCTTCTGTTGAGTCTGGGCTGGATTTGTCTGACACACGTACCTATTATTCTTTTTTTTACAGGGGTAGCTTTTACACAGTGCTTTGTCCTGACTGAGGGATGACAGTGTAGACTATTTGAAGCACATCCTATTCCTTGTGGAAAACTTAGGGCTCTGCTGGCTACATTTGCAGTATCACGGTATCAGCTGGCATGTAACTGGTGCAGGCTGATCAGTGCGCTCCCCCTCTATGGCAAACACTCTAGCTCCCCTCTAGGTAACTTCTCTAATCGATTCTTCCTTAGATCTACTCACCAGCCTTCTCCAACACAGGCACAAATGGAAAGAACATGAATGGTGTTAAGTATCTGCTGCAGAACAGCCTCTTGTCTCTATGTGGGACAGAAGAAGTTACCGTTACGTTGTCCCTCGGGAATCATGTAGTTCAGGATATGCACATGCGTGTGTGCTGACCACGCAGGGATTGGTCTTTCTCCAGCGCTGCAGAGTTCACATGCCAGGGCCATGAGAAGTAAAACAGACGCCATTTCCTCTTCAGGCAGTGTTGCGAATGAGCCATTAGGGATCACAGAGCTGTTAATGTTAGGGGATTGGGATTCACCTTTTGAGCAGCTGGAGCTGAAATGTGCATTCTTTTGGGACCAAGAAGTATGCGCAGAAACCAGCCTGCACATTTATTGCCACAATCGTCACGTGTGTTTGGATCCCATCCTCTTGTTTATGTCTCCAAGTCAAGGAGTTGTGTGTGGCTGGACAGGGAATTCACGCATCTGAAAGAATAGCAGCAGCTTGCTAAAAAGCGAAGTTGGTGGCAGGATGGATAGGAGTTAAGTATCCGGCTAACCAGTCTCAGTTGTCTGACCAGGGCTTGTACTTCTCTGTTACCTTCTGTTAACTTGCAGTAGGTCAGGAGAAGCTCTCCAAACACAGTTTCATTGCAGCAAAACTCATGTTGTGCAGCAGCTCTGTCCAATCTGCATCGACATATGGGTCCATTGCACGGAGAGTACTGTGAGGTCAAGCAGTGGTTTAATATTCAGAGCTGTTCTGCTTCCTGCTGCAGCTATGCTCCAGAGAAGCTACTGTAAGTATCAGACATCCCAAGGAGCTGGTACAGGTGATGCTAGCAGCACACCGTGGCCAGGCAGGACTGTCAAAGGAGGTGCACAGTCCCTTTGCCACATGCAGACACTCTTCTCAGTGGGGAGAATAGGGTTTGTAACCACTCTGTAGCTTACAAGAGCTTACAGCTACTGTCCATGCAGAGCCACTTCATGGCATTCAGCATCTGACTCCATTTAGGCACCTGAATCCATGGGAGTTTGGCTCCTAAAGCCCTGTGTGGATCTGGGCGAAGCTGAAAGGCAGGTCCAGCCAAGCTAATTTTGGTCTGCAGACAGTGCTTGCTCAGCATGGACAGGAAGCCCTGCACATTGCAGTTCTGCCCACTTAGCAGGGTCCTGTGCTGGCCACACCTTCTTGAATTGCTGGTGCCCACAGTTTCATCTCAATGGTAGCGATTAAGCTCCTCACTGCAGAGCAGATGTCTGGATAACTGAAAGCACCAGGAAGGCAGGCATGGCCGAATGCTGGGCTGTACTGGTTTGCTCTCCCTCTCCGTACCCACAAATTCCAGTCTCTCCCAATTCAGTCCTAGGCTGCACTCTCCTGCCTTGCTGTCCAGGCTGTGTGCAGGGGCAGCACTCTGGTAGCCCGTACATGATCAAGGTACTGTGGTCCCAGCACTTCTCCTGGCTCTGGGAGGTGAGGGTTGCATAGGGCTAGCAGTGTCTGTGCCTTTCCTTAGGAACTCTCCCTCTGTACTCTGAGTCCCAGGCAAAGTCGCAGCTCAGCTGCTGCTTTTAGGTATAGCTCAAATGTGGATGTGCAGAAGTGCTGCCTTCAAAGGCAGAGTGGTCAGAGGTACAGGATAGGCAACCAAAGTTGTCGTGCAGGCAGTGCCCCTGTAGCAATGTCCTTGCTTGCTGCAAACATGCCCCTCATTGCTTTGCCTTGGAAATGCAGCGCTGAGCATGCCACACAGCACAGACAAGGGGCAGATGTACAGACAAAGAAAAGGGAAGTGAAAGCTCCAGTTCTCCCCTCTCTGACGCAGGTTGCCAGACATGGCTTTGCTCCATCCCACCTTTGGGGATTTAGAGTAAGAAAGATCTTTGAATCCATCTCACAGTAGCAGACAGGGAGCTCTGGTCACGAATTCCCAGAGCAAATCAGCCTCTAAGTCTGCTTCTGTGCATGGAAACATGCAGGGGTAATTTTT